AGCGTCAGGTCCTCGGAAGTCCTTGGCCCGGGACTCCTTGCGTTGCCTCATCCTTGACAGGTTTTCAAGACGCATGTGGTAAACCTCAAGGAGTTCGACTCGATGTCGCTTGCCCGGCGGTTCTTCGAGATCTTGTGGTTCTCTTTTGGTCCCACCAGCCTCCCCGCTGGAAGCGGCCGCGTCGTGGTGCTGGTCGTCCAGACTAGCCTCCGGGGGAATGAGGTCCGACCCTGAAGCCTTCATTGTCTGGTCGGCAAGCTCGTCGTTGGCCTCCATGTTCCGTTCGTCGGTCGGACCACGTTCTTCTTCTCGAGAGTCTGGAGCTGGCTCAAGTCCTGGAGGGGGAACAGGGTGCTCGATGGCATAGTTCCCGGTCTTCCTGACAACTCGTCGAGAAGGAACAGGTCCCGCTTCGTCCTCTGGGATGAGCTCCGATTCCTCGTCCTCCTCGTCCGGAATGGGGTCATTGTCCTTGGTGAGGTCGATGAAGTTTCGGACAGGAGTTCGTTCAAAATCTCGTCGGGCAATGGAGATGCCATTCATCCATCCCGACATAGAAAGTGACTCTTCCTCGGTGACTGTCCGAACACGTTCCGGAGCTGCCTTGACGAGGGTTCCTTGATATGAAATCCATACCGTGCTCGGAAGGGCTGTCATCAGAACTCGTCCGGGACCGTGCCAGTAGCTGCCTCGGGTCTTCTTCGTGGTTCCAGCTCCACGCCGCCAGAAGTAGACGGCCTGGCCAACCTCGATGTTGTGGTATTTCCGGTGTCCAGCTAGGACGGCAGCACGAATTGCCTGGCTGCAGTCCACCTCATGGAACGCCACGGCCGCGGCCTGCCTCATTCTCATAGCCCGGTTAGCCTCGACGTCGCCGATGTGCTGGAGGTCCGCCGCCATCTCGTCCGCCTCCCCACCAGTCAAAAGCCCTCCTGGAAGTCTGGGAGTGTAGCCAATGACTCGTTGGATCGGGGAATATCCTGCTCTCATCAGAAGTCGGTTGCGAGTCATGCAAGTCACATCGACGAGTTCACGCCAGTGCTCAGCCGTCTGACAGTCATAGGTACTCATTGCCTTGTAGAGAATGTCCTTGAAAAGACCGCCAGCTCTTTCGGTAAGTCCTCGTTGCGTCGGTGCCTCAAGAGAACTTGGGAGTACCTCGGATCCATCTGCCTCCGCCATGCGTCGAAAGTCAGATTTGAATTCGGTACCCAAGTCCAGGAGCAGCTTCCGTGGCGGGCCAAAGAACCGAACCCATTGCCGGTATGCCTTTCTGGCCTCCTTGGCAGTCTCTGCCGCCATCGGAATCACGAGCTGGAAGTGGGTGCTCCAGTCAATCATGTTCAATGCTGGGATCGCCTGATTCTGATGATCACGAAGATGAACGGTGTCGATGCCCACCAAGTCATTGACATGATACTGCTCCCGAGGGGGTGCAGCTGCTCTGGCCGGTGCCGGGAGCTTGTAGGCTTCACAGACCGAGCATCGGATTCGCCGTGCAACTTCGATGGCTTCCTCTGGGGCCTTACTATGTCGAAGGATCCTGACGAAGCGGTTGATCTCAGGATGTCCTAGGCCCTCATGAGCTCTCCGTACCAGCGTCTCCAGTCGAGATGGTCGCATGCCCGGAAAGTGTCGAGGTTCTGGTCCGGAATTCCGGTTGGCCCTGCCCTTGAAGAGAGTCAGCGTGAAGTCACATGGTCGAACTGGTCGATTGCCCTGCTCAAGTTCTGGCCAGCGAATCTCATCCTCGATGAGGTGCCACGGCTCATCACCGTTGCGAACCCACGTAGATCTCCAGGGAAGCCCTCTAGCGGGATGTCCTTCTTCAGGTTGAAATAGGCGGCCAACATTCTTCTGCATCTTGACCACCTTGTCACTGTCAAGCACGTGCTCGCCCTCTCTTTCCAGGATCTCCGCTGGAACTCCCATCGCAATCGGGTCATGTCGGTCTCCCTCGCCATAGTACACCACATCCTCGGGAACAGTGCCGTCGTCGAGGTGCTCCTGGTCCAGGTTCTGAAGCACTTCCTGGTACTCCACCTGGCTGAAGTAGTTCTCGTCATGGGCCTGGTCCTCCTTGAGCATGTCCTCGGCCGCCTGGATCTGCAGTTCCGAGGGGGCCTTGCCAATGCTTCGGCTGTACTCGCGCAAGATGGACGAAAGCAGTCTTGGAGGATAGACCTGAGCAGCCGCCGATTTGCTCTTGCCATTCACCTTGCCAATGATATGGCCATGACCATGTTGACCGCTGCATCGAACAGAAAGGCGGCGAGCAATGCCTTCGTGGTTGGTGAGGAAGCCCGTGGACTTCTTCAGGAAGTCGCCCAGCGCATCTCGCAGGTTGAACTCGCATTGGTCCGCCTTGGAGAGCCAAACTCTCGGGAGGCACCCGAGTCGGCGAAGCGAGGAATGTTTCCATGACTTGGCACCCCAGGGCTGTTCTAGAACAAAGACTAGCCCGAGTTCATGACAAAGTGTGCAAACCTTCACAGCAAACTTCAGTAACTTTATGCCTTCTCGAAGTTTTTCTTGGTATCGCTGCAATGCCTTGAAATTCCGGTTCCTGAACATGGATAGGAGCCCATTGAGCTGACTAAACGGGCCACAGGGTGGAGATACAATCACCAAACCAGGGCGCTCATGCCGAATGTAGGTCATCACAGAATGCTGCGTGGACGGCTTCAGCAGATCATGTCCTAGAACAAGGTCAAAGGCACATCCTGCTCTCAGACTATGCTTCGGTGCTTGGCTTGTAAACCTCTTGGGATTGTATACTTCTGCGACCACATTGGTTGCAAGGACCTCCTTGTTTTCAACTGAGCGCTCGGATGATGGCTCGATCTCTTGCTCAAACAGGGCCAGGAGATCTGTCCAAGATCTTTCGGCCTTTTTCAAGGAACCTATAATGCGTCGCCTTTGGCCGACCGGCAACGCCTTGACAACGGCATCGTCAATCATCCTCTTTTCGGATGGTTGGCTGCTGAGCTCTTGTCCCTCATTGCCCGGAAGCGCAGGAACTCCTGGTACTCCTCGTAGTCCTGCTGGGGTGTTCGCTCGCCGCTGGACCTCGCCGTTGGGCTCCTCGTTGGCGCCGGCTGCTTGGGCTTGGCATCGTCGTTCTTGTTCGGCAGCGTCTTCGGCGGTCGAAGCTCGACTCCTCGGTCCCGGTAATAGGTCTTCTGGAACTCCGTGGATTCTCGGCGAAGAACTTGGCCGCAATCCACACAGCGAGCTTGCCTCACCCAGGCATTGGATCCGGCATTCGTCACGTTCCGGTGTGGGCATTCTCCGGCCGTTGTTGATGGCGGCGTCGGGCTCCTTGTCGTAGTTGTCCGGTTCGTTGTCGTAGAACTCCGGCTGCCTGGCTGGCGATTGTTGATCTCCTCCGGAGTCTCGTTCTCGACCACCGGTGACGGAGGAGGACTTCTCCGAGTCGATCCTCGGGATGACGGTGCTGGCCTCGGTGGCGACTTTCGATTCGGAGATCTCTTGTCCACTGGCGTTGGAGGTCCCCAAGGAGCATTCGACCACGTGTCCTGCTCGTGGTCGGGCAGCCACTCGAAGTAGGTGCAGCGTCTGCTCGGAAACCTCCATTGGTGACATCGGTAGAACAGCCGCCCCTTGTTGGCTCCTGCCTTGTGGGTCCTGAGCATGGACCTCGGGAGATCGCAGTAGCATACTTCGATGGTCTCGTCGTACTTGTCCTCGAACATCGGGCTGTCGTGCACTCTCTCCTGCGAACCCATCGCCGTCGAAGTCCTCTTGCGTTGGCTCGGGGGTGGCACGTCCTCTGGAAGGATCTCGGAAAGCACCTCCCAGTTCTCCTCGTCGGTGAGGTCGGCCAAGTCGCCCTCGGCAATGGCGTGGTGAACCAGCTGGTTCAGCTCGCCCAGTTGTCGGAGGCTGAGGACCTCCACCAGATCCATCATCTGCTGGCGAAGAACCTGTTTGGGTCCTCGGGTTCCCAGGAACCTCAGCATAGCCTTCTGGACCGCGTCCGCGATCACCACCAGCAGGTGCAGGGTCATGCGGCGCCAGGAGAGGTGTGCTCGGTGATCTTCCGGGTGACGAGCTCGTTTGTTCTGGGTCTCCATGTTGGCACAATCTACGGGAGTCACCGGCAGAGGAGCACTCGTCCGGACTTGAGCTGGTAACATGATTGGAGTGCACTTCTGACGGAATAACTTCTTGAACTCCAGCCGCATGCACTTGGGACATAGCTCGTTTCAAACTGCTGATCATGCTGGGAGAGAATTGATCCAGGGGTACCCTCAAGGCTCCGGTTGGACCTATATGAAGAGGTGCTTCACAGTGATATCGTCGCAGACGAAGCTTAAGGCCTTGTTCTGGATCAAGTACTAGAGTAGCTCGGCAATGGAGAAGAAACGGAAGCGAGAGAAGAAATGGTGCATTCGAACTCATCCCCTCTTCGAACACTGCAGGCCTAAGAATGCAACCTTTGGGGCCCAAGCTTGTAGGAACGCATGCAATACGAGAAGTGCGGGAAATTCCGTTGACAGACCTGAAGGAATGGGTTTCCGGCTGAAACTTGGTCTCCAAGCCACTCTGCTGATTACGGAGAAGTCTTTCCAAGGTTGCAACTCCAATTGCAGTTCTCTGGCATCCAGTGTCAACTGTGGCGCAGTGGTCTTCATCTATGGGCTCATGTTGGCTTACATACATAATTTCATGGGGCAACCCTAAAGCAGCACACCTGTA